CCGTTTAGCAATGCTTCCACATAGCGACGATTAATCTGGAACGGATTAACGTCGCTATGTGGGGCACCACTGTATATTCATTCTTACAGTTAAGAAAATCAAAGTGATGAGATAATAGTGAGGAGACTCCAACCAGTAACCAGCTCTGGCTTTAGGACATTATAAAGGATTCAAAAAAAGATGTGTGCCCTACATAGATAGATAAGGAAAGGATTCTTGAAAGAGACTCGACAAACATGCACACACAATATTTGATATAAAGACAGCAAAGGAGTGGTTAAAACGCTGTACTGCAGCTAAAACTGTGGAAAGAGACTCGACAAACATGCACACACAATATTTGATATAAAGACAGCAAAGGAAATAAAAATATTGTGCATCAAGTTACCTCATGTATATTCCAATGTCATGAAGGCAGCAAATGAAGAGAATTTTTCTTTTCTTTTTACATAAGGCTGATCTTTTATTATGCCCATTAAAGACAAACAAGACATACTATGTCTTGGCCCATCAAATACAAACAAGCTTAAGCTCCGATCAGTGCCAGCTGATCAAAACAAGCTATGATCAGCAGGATGCACACTGCAAGAAACATGTTTAGGAAAGTAAGTGACTTTGATCTAACCAAACTAGGAATGTACAATCTCCTCATAATCCATCATCCTTCAAAATCATGTTGATGCAAGTAGGACATTTCTCAAAATATTTCTTTTCCAAGGTTGAAGGCATGTTGCATCAGCAATAAAGCTCCTCAACAACTTCATACAGGATAACACAAATAAAATGGAACTCAAAGTGTTACAATCTTTGTCAAAAGAGCTAAGTGAGTATGAACTTCGTACATCTGTTGAAATCAATAGCTTTTATGAACCTCTCTGTAAAATCTCTACTTGCATTCTCTGCTAAGGCCTGAGAGTTGTTTGATTCTTCTACAAATTGCTTTATTGCCCTGGAATATGTTCAGCAAATTAGATACCAGCCAAATATTATAAAACAATTTTCTTTATCTTTAGTCCTAAGTGTAAGTTTTTCCCTGGCTGTATTGAGATTCTACGTCAGACTGGATTCTGTGTCACAATAACCGTATTTGTCTGTGTATAAGACTATACTTTTCTCTAAAATCTTTAGACTAAAAATTGAGGGTCGTCTTATACAGGGAAGTAAGCTGAGGAGAGAACAAAAACAAGTGGAGGGGAAAGCAGGGATGAAAGCGATCCTGCAGTGCTTTGATCCCTTTCCCCCTACACTTGCTAAGCCCCACTTATTTTTCTTAATTTTGGCTTAGAATAGTGGGGGGCGTCTCATACACAGAAAAATATGGTATATGTTCTGTTGATGCCCCTGCTATTTTCAGTAATCTTTTCATAGCTTCTGTCACAAACTCTAATGCATAAAAAGCCCACCACGGTATATTTATGGGATATGTATTCTGTTGAAGGGATTATGCTGAGGAGGCTGACCAACCACAATTTTGAGATTCTAAGTCTTTGATCTTTCCTCTGTCTCAAGAGATTATGACACAAATTATATATTTTGTGGAGCCAAATCTACTTCTTTAGACACACCAATACAAATATACAGTATGTCCCCTATAGCTATACATATCTCCATGAAAAGGTAAGGATTAAGATAATAGACAAAGCAATGATGGTTTGCTAACACACTAATAGGACTATCTAGTTATTAATTACTTGAATTAGCAGATATTGACCAGAATGAATTGTGGTTTTGGAGGAGACTCTTGAGAGTCCCCTGGACTGCAAGGAGAACAAACCTATCCATTCTGAAGGAAATCAACCCTGAGTGCTCACTGGAAGGACAGATCTGGAAGCTGAGGCTCCAATACTTTGGCCATCTCATGAGAAGAGAAGACTCCCTGGAAAAGACCCTGAGGTTGGGAAAATGTGAAGGCAAGAGGAGAAGGGGATGACAGAGGACGAGATGGCCGGACAGTGTCATCAAAACTACCAACATGAATGTGACCAAACTCTGGGAGGCAGTGGAAGACAGGAGGGCCCGGCGTGCTCTGGTCCATGGGGTCACGAAGAGTCAGACACAACTTAATGACTAAACAACAAAACACCAGAATGACAGGAATGGTAAGAGCTGTACCTGTGAAAAGTGTCCAAGTTTGTAAATAAGTACAATTTTATTCAGAAAGCTGGGTTATTAATGTATGTAATGCACTAAAAAGCCTTGTACTCTATATACAGTGGTGCCTCGCAAGACGATTGCCTCGCAGGACAATTAATCTGCAAGATGATCAGTTTTTACGATCCCTGTTGTGCTTCGCAAGACGGTTTTTCCTATGGACGATTTTTGCAAGACAATGTTTTGGTCTATGCTTCACAAGACTTTTTTTTAAAACCGATGCTTCACAAGACCTTTTTTTCCCCATTTGTTCAAAACCTCTTCAGCCACCCCCACTCAGAAGCCTCCCACATTTCTACCACTGTGCCAGAAGGCCTCCAAACCAGCACCAGAGGCTGCTCACTGTGGCAGCTGTACTGGACCTTGCTGCTCTGCCATCTGAGCTGCTGGCTTTCCAGGATCTGCCTCCTGGAAAGCCAGCAGGGCCAATGGCTGCAAATTAGCATAAGGTATTAGCATATATATTAGCATATAGGACTATCTAGTTATTAATTACTTGAATTAGCAGATATTGACCAGAATGAATTGTGGTTTTGGAGGAGACTCTTGAGAGTCCCCTGGACTGCAAGGAGAACAAACCTATCCATTCTGAAGGAAATCAACCCTGAGTGCTCACTGGAAGGACAGATCTGGAAGCTGAGGCTCCAATACTTTGGCCATCTCATGAGGATTGTACACTAGAGGATTGTCGGGGGAACACCCAGCCCCTGATGGGGGTCCTGCAGGGCACCCCAAAACACTGAGAAGCTCTCTTGGCCTCTGGCGAGACTGGAGCTGTGCAGCCCTGTTCTGAACGGGAGGTGCAGCCAGGAGGTCACCTTGCCTTGGGGGGCAGGGGACAGGAGGTGCAAGGGCCACTCCAACTCATACCTTGCAGGGGAAATATCATGGTCATGAAAGTGGTTTTCTCAGGGTGAGGCTCATCCATTGCACTTCAGGTGTCCTGATCCCTGTGATTTCCCCAAATGTGGGGAACTCAACTGCATAATTTGTGGTAGTGGAGGATTGCATTTGTGTTTTCCCTGGCCTTTCTAGAATCCTTTTGATTTCTTTTTCCCTCATCAGGACTTACTGCAAAGGCAGCAAGTCCTGGTGATGTCTTGTATTACATTCTCTCTCTTTTTCTCCCCAGTGGCAAAGGATCAGGGCAAAAGGAGTCACCATGATCAGGAGCCGGGGGGCTGCTTTGACTCCTTTCACCCTCTTTCTTTGCTGCTGGAGAGAGAAAGAGGGGGAAGGCCACCTAGGACCAACTGCATTTCCAAAGGCAGCGAAGGTGAGGGGATTGCTTTTCCCCAATACAGTAGATTTCAATGCATTCCTATGGGGAACCGTGTTTTGCAAGACTATGTTTTCTATGGACAATTTTCACAAGACAGTGATTTTTTCCCCATTGGAACACATTAAATAGATTTCAATGCATTCCAATGGGGAACCATGTTTCACAAGACAATGTTTTCACAAGGCAGTGATTTCCGTGGAACGAATTAAAATCATCTTGCGAGGCACCACTGTACATCCTTTGTCAACAGTAGTTTCAACACATGTACTATAATTACTGCTGGTGATTAGCATTACTAGCCTATGATGAGACATCATGGTTTAGTCTGTTCTTTAATTGGCCATATGCTCACCAAGCAACACAAAAATTATTTCAATTTTGCACTTCTTTTGTGTCTTTTTTGCATTTTAGATAGGAAGGGACATGAAAGAAGTTCCAAAACACTCTGCCCTCCCCTTTTTGGATGAAAGTTTAAATTCAGAAGAAAAAGAGTTAAGGCCTTCTCCACACATGCCAATTTCCTAGTGCAAGCTGTCCATCAAAGCTATCCGTTTCAGAAAGGAAAACATATATACGGTTAACAACAGCTTCAAGGAAATGCATTATGTCGATGTCTATTCTTACATACCAGCTTCCGTTAAGATTCCTATTTTGGAACAAGTGAAATCAAAAACATGATATGTGGATATCAGCTTATTTGATGGAAGTTCACTGGTGGTTGTACTGCCTGTGGGAGAAACTAGTGTACCACAGCTAAGCTTTCAGTAAAAGGCAACATGAAATTTTACACCTTTGGTACATGTATCATGAAATGTAGGGTAGAACACTCCACTTTTATAAATTATCAGCCAAATATCAATGAACCTAACCGTTCCTTTTTCAGTAGCAAATGGGGGTGGGGGGAGAAGGGTCACAAATTATTCACAGTAGTGTAACAGTTTTGCAGTATATATGCTACACATTCAGGGCCAAATCCAGGATTATACAAGCAAACTTCCACTCACACAACAAAATTTTCCCTCCTGACTGCCTCTCCCCACATCCTTGAAATCGACTCTCTGGAGCAGATTGAGGCTGTAGTGAAAACACATTCTGACAGCAAATATCATTCTCTTGGCAGACAGACACTACTGGACACAACCCTTTCCATTTCACATGTTATTCATTATTCTCTGAAGATCAAACTGCATGCAATGTATAATTATATAGAAAAAAAGCAGTATGAAAACAGAAAAATAAGGTATCAGAAATGTGTTAATTGGATTAAGAAAGTACTAAAGGAGGTTGGGAGGATTAAGTGAAGGCATAAGTCCTTTGCTTAGTCCTCTCATGTCAGATTTGGGCTTTTGAACGACCTTTCTGTCTTCTTTCCGTTATCCTGACTGAAGGACTCTCTTTCCACCCAGCTTCCACATACCAGCCAAAGTTTCTGTAGCACATCCTTTACTCAAGTAGGACATGGTGCATTCCTGCCCCATAACTCTAAAAGCAGGAAACAGCACATTTATAGCCTATACTATATACTGTATATATAAAAATGGAAGACAAATGGGAAGAGTTTACGTACCCTTCTCCACCAACTCTTGTTATTTTTAGACGAAAATCCACTGAATTCAGACTGGGTGGCTTCCATTTCAAAATGTCATCACATCGTCCAGGCTTGTATTTCTTTAAAGAAAAATTAAGAAAAAAAATAAACAAAACATAATTGCTTCTTTAAAGGCCAATATATGATGGCTTGAAAAGTATATCAGAATTCTAGGGCCATGCTACTACAACATCTCACACTCTTGGCTGCTACTTTAGCATAAAACAAGAAGTATTAGAACTCATATGCAAAGGAAGATGGTAGCATGCTGAAATACTGTAGATCTCCTTTTTGTAAGCAAGGTAAGATATGTACTATCTGTGACTCCTTAATCTGAAAGGGGACTGTGAGGGGTCTGGTTACACTGTATATAGTTGTAATCTACAAGGTTCAATTCAATAAAATGACAAGAGTCGCCCACCTCACCAATATCCATGAAGCTATCACTTAAACAAATTCCTGATGCATTCTGAATATGGATGCTTGTAACGTAATATAACAGGATATTAATTTCATAAATTTACTGAAGTATATACCTTTGAAAGATTACAACATAATCAAGACTCAACTTACTCTATCTTTTTAAAAAAGGATTAACTACATTATAACAGCTATTAAAATTTAACAAAAGAAATTACAAAACTAATTTCAGATTTCTGCACTTTCATAGGATTAGTTCAAAATCTTGAAAAAAACACTATGCTCCCAAAAGGCTGTGGCAGTATGAAGTCCAATCATGCAGCCCTTTCACGGGTGCTTTAACCATCCATAAATACAGTGGTGCCCCGCTAGATGATTACCTCGCTAGACAATGAGTTTTTGTGCTAGACAATGAGTTTTTGCGATCACTATAGCGCTTCACAAAACGGTGTTTCCTATGGGCGATTTCCGCTGGATGATGTTTTGGTCTGTGCTTCACACGGGTTTTTTTTCCCGGGACTGTTTTCCGCAAGATGACAATTTTGATAGCTGAGTCCCCGACTCGCAAAATGGGTATTTTCTGGACCGTTTTTCGCAAGACAGCGATATTTGACAGCTGATCCGTGCTTCGCAAAACGATTTTCGCAAAATGACAATTTTCCCCATTAGAATGCATTAAACGGATTCCAATGCATTCCAATGGGGAACCGCATTTTGCAAGATGATGTTTTCGCAAAACAGTGATTTTCGCAGAACGAATTAACATCGTTTTGCGGGGCACCACTGTAGAGAGTTAAAGCAGCCACGAAAGGGCTGCACAGTCAAAGGGCTATGATCATGCAGCCCTTTCATTGCTTCTTTACTCCTCCATTTCCTAAGCCCCGAATGGAGGGGTAATGCAGCAATGACAGAGCTGCAGGATCAAAGGGCTGCGATCCTGCAGCCCTTTGATCACTTCCCCCTTACTACCGTATATAAGACAACCGTCAATTTTTTTATCTAAAGATTTTAGATAAAACTATCACCTTATACAAGGAAAAATACGATATATCAGAGAAAACCAAATGCCCCAGTGCAGCTTTGCAGCATGAGAAGATGAGCTAATTCGTATTCCTCTCACTATGTAGTCACAGCCTGAGACACGATGGAATCAGGAACTCTTTAGTTAACAACAATCTCCCCTAGCCAGATGACATTACTCCTCCCCCTGGTGCTCACACACCTCATGCTCCATGAGAATTACCTGGACAAGCCAGTGGATTGAAGCAGAAGGTCTTTAATTATTAAAAATCTCCCCCTGCCAGTGACCTCATATCTCTTACACAGCATGATTTCTCTTACAAAAATGTAAAAGCATTTTGTTCTTCCTACTAGGTATAGGCTGGACCTCGCCACGCAAGAGAGTAAAGCTGGAGAACAATGTCATCACTGGAAGGAATCAGACGGATGGCTTATAACTAAACTGAATTAAACAAGCTATAGGTGAAAGCTATTGCTGTCTGTGAAACATCCATCCCTTAAGCACAGTTAAGTATATCAATGTCCTGTGGAATCAATGGCTAGGCACACCCAATTGTGCACAGTATCTGATCAACACTCTAAATTTACAGATTTGTATTGATTTCATTTCAGTCATGCTTTCCCTTTCTGTGGTGACACGGGAAGACAGTCTGTAAGTGCTGGACCACTTGAGCACCAACATATTTTTCCTTTTTTCAGTTTGCATTTTAACTTGATTGAACGTATGAGTTTAACTGTAATGAGCTTTATTGGGTATGATCTCAAGATCTGGAGAGCTCTCAAAATAAATGTAAGGCCTGCTCCTCTTTATACACTCTCTTTGATTTTGGGTGCTGCACATGCTTACACGGTTACTGTTTTATGTGTGTTTTAATGGGTTTTTAAGATGTTTTAATGGATTTAATTAATTTTTAATACTATAATAGGTTTAATTTTTTTTAATACTACAATTTCTTGTGTTTCTAGTTGGCTTATTTGTTAATAATTTGTGAGCCATCTTGATTCCTTTCACTGAAAGAAAAGCAGAATACGAAGTGTCAAGTATGGAACATCCTCAACCTCAAATCCTTTGCTGCCTTCAGTATGTTGTCTTCTGCCCAGACTCCTGATGTAAAGGTCTGCATTTGTTCTCAACTGATATGATCTGTTATCATTAATGAGAAGATTTAAAGGAAACAAATAAAGAGATCATAGTTTCCTTTGGAATGGGGGTGCGTTGAAGAATTAAAAAGGCATACTGTACTTGCTTGGGAGCTAATCCTACTGAAAACAGTGTGATTTCCTTCCAAGTAACCAATTTCTGGGACTATGATGGTAATGCAGTATAAATAAATTCTTCTCCAAATGTTTGTAAATTAATAATGTACTTCTCCCTTGCATTCTCTGAATTTAAGGAAAGAAAAAAAATCAAGGCACCACTGAGTTCAGTGCATAAGCTGGCTGGATATCTCAGTGAGCTAGGTATCTGGATACAGATTCAGAGTTTGGAAGTTCAATTTGTCACTGTGCATCTCAGAAAAGTCAGCTTGTGTGGCCTTGGGAAACCTGCAGAGCCCCGGGATGTCCTCAGAAGAAGGCAACAGTAAATTACTTCTGAGTACTCTCTACCTAGGGACGTTGGTGGCATTGCAGGTAAAACCGCAAAAGCCTCTGTGCTGCAAGGTTGGAAGACCTGCAGTCGTAAGATCAAATCCACGTGACGGAGTGAGCTCCCGCTGTTTGTTTCAGCTCCTGCCAACCTAGCCGTTCAAAAGTATATCAAAATGCGAGTAGATAAATAGGTACCACCAAGGTGGGAAGGTAATGGCATTCCATGTCTAGTCACGTTGGCCATGTGACCACAGAAACTGTCTAAGGACAAACGCCGGCTCTATGGCTTGTAAACAGGGATGAGCACCGCCCCCTAGAGTCGGACACAACTGGACTAAATGTCAAGGGAACATTTACCTTTTCCTTTGTTCTCTACCTAGAAAACCCTGAAAAGAGTAACCACAAGTTCAATGTGCCTTGTCCCCATATTAGGTAGGAATAGGATTGTACCCTTAGCCGATCAATCAAGTAAGACTTATTCAAGAGTTTTCAGATGAGTATACTGATGAACACACAAGTTCTGAAGCAAAAGGCATGCTATCTGTTCCGAACAAAGCAGAGAAAATACTTGGAAAAACATAGCTGTGGAAAGGTTTCCACTTCACATCACAGCTTTATGTAAAGCATGTTTTCACTGAATGCCATCTTAAAAAGCAGAAAACTCAAAACAAAATAAAAAAAGCCCAAGAGTGATACTTAAGAATGAAAACCACTGGAAAAACTTAGTATCAACTGAGGATACTAAGTGGCATCTCTCACTCCCAAAACCAACCATCACAAAAATTCAGCATATGACTACACATAATAACTCTTCAACTGAACAAACCAAACATGTCATCAATTTCTTGGTCTCCACATTTTAATGGCACAAGCTGAGGCAACTCAACTGGTGACAGCCCACACTGGATGTCTTCTGGCAGAACAGCAGAATCAGGAAAGGGTGGTTTCCTTTTAGTTCTCTAAGCATCCTCCAAAACGTGCTGTAGAAGGCAAGGAAAATTACCTGAGCCAGATTTTGGATAGTTCTGAGGAACAGAAAGGGAAAGGAACACATCCCTGTCATAGCTGCCCCAGTCCAACATTGGATTTAGGCCTATGAGAGCATTTTTAAAGCTAAGGAGGAAAGGAAACTGAATAGTTACAATGTGTATATACAACATAATGGTAACCCTTCAATAGCAGTATATTAACAAAATAACAGGAATATATACACATGAGTTAATAATGTTAATTTCTGAAACCATTTCTAGACTTGTCGTAGAAACAATTAAAACAGTGCTTTCTTGCCATGTATGAGAATCACTATTCTGCTCAGCTTATGATATTGACATAATAATTATATAGTGTCAGGTCAATTATAATTTATGGATACCCATACCATGGTATAAATGTATAAAGTACTCAAAAGTAGTTTACCAATCCCTTCTTCTGGTGATGTTTTGTGACTGTGCAGTTTCTCCAAGGCTACACAAGTAAGCTTTTCTCCTAGGAAGCACAGTAGGAATTGAACTCTTGATCCCTGGCTCTACATCCAGATACTCCAACTTACTGAACTATCCAGCGAGCTGCTTATGATAATAGATAGAAAGAGGGTGCCACCTTTCACCAACTGAAAATCTCATTATGTTTTTCACTGGCAGGCTTCTTCTAATCTTTGACAGGATGATGAAAGCCTATTTATTTCAGATATAACTATATTAAGCACTTCAGGACTGAACTTTCATTTTACTGGTTATCTGGAGTTGGTGGGAAATGATAGTGGGCAATGCTTCCTCTCTTCCCTGAGTCAACTATACACTGTGGTAAACATTAACTGACAGGAATCTGAAGAAGAAAGACTGTCTTTCTCACCAAATTTAGTAAGTTTGAATGCTTCAAGGTTCAGCCTTTAATTAAACCCATCTAAATACTGTCAGCCATAAATATTCAAAAATATGACTTCTCATGTTTAATATAGCTTGAGGTGCCCTAGATTATTAAGCATTTTGGGAATGCTAAGAGATTAACAACCTTTCAAAATTCGCTTACAATCCATGTTAGTTGTACACTT